GTGCTCCACGCTACGGAGCGGTAAATTACGATTGTCTTGACCGTCTCCCCTTGGAATTGTGGTCGTTTTGTTGTAAGTCTTGGCGAACTGAGTGAGAAAAGCATCTTTCCTGAGAAGGTCGTGGCACGTTGCAGCCAGGTTTATGGCTGTAGTGAGTTATCGAAAGAACTGACACACTCTTTCTACCTCAGATTTTTGAGGAGACATTTTTGGAATCCGAACTTTGGAATCGGAACTTCCATGTAAGAACTGAACCTTTTCCAAGTGAGTTTCAGAAGCCGAATGCGGCGGTAAGATCGCAGTAAGTGAAGAATGGCAGTCTATTGAATCGCCGGGATTCCCCGATCCAGGCTATGATCCCGATCAAAAATGCAACTGGGTTTTCGAGGTACGTTTACAGTTACTGAGCTATTCTAGATGGTATCTTTACAGACCTTAGGCGGGTCCTGATTCCTGATCGTTCAGGCACCAGCTGGTAAGCGAATCGAATTTGAATTTATTGACGAGTTCTCATTTCTGTGCACATCGACGTGTGTGGACTATGTCGAAATGAAAATTACCACAGATTTTCGCCCAACTGGATTCAGGTTCGAACTCCTTTCATTTGTACAAAGCAGTACAACATCGGTAGAACTGCAGTATCAGAAGATCCCGCCCTCCCCCTAATTTCCTCTTTTAGTACTACCACATCGCCTTCCCTCCTCGTCCTTCCTACCCACCTCCCAAACTCCCAATTTTCCTATCGATTTTCCCAATTTTCGAAAAAATTTTCCGGTTTCTCTCTGAGAACCAAGGAACTGCTATTGAGTGACGTTGAAACCTCCGATCAACTACGAAGAATAGAAGCACTATAACAATCCTGTGCTTTCTGAGGGTGGGTGGGGGGAGTGGGAGAGGAGGTGCGATCACTGGAAGAGTTCTCGTTTTTTGGCATAATGTGGGAGAAGTTGTCCAATAACAAAAGGCGACTCTTACCACAGGGGCAATCCGGATCCCATTGAGTCCAGGATGAGCCTCGCCTGCGACAAATTCTCCTTTCGACCTCTGCAAGGCATTGTTCGGAGCAGAATCTCAATCACTGTATCATGACGATTCGATCGAAAAACCAGTCCAATTTTGTTTCTGCGAAAGACAGGGCGCGTCTGGGAAGGGGCTGGCTTGCCTTGCTTGCTTGGAGCACGGCACCAGCTCTTCTGTAGCAACTGGAGGAGCTGACAGTTGAACAAGACAGGTGGAAATTTGGGTGGCGTCGCACCAAACCCAGCCCCCTGATAATTCAGAGAGCTTCCTCGTTTCATGTTTCTACTTACAGATGGTGTTGCTATGACATACCCAAGGGTTCGTACGTCTCCGAAACCAACTTGGCGGTGGTAATCTTCCGATCGCAGCTCAGCAACGATGTCGGTTTCAAGCTTCAAGCCCGAACCAGTACGTTCAACTTTTCGATTATTTGTTTACCATTTAATATGTTAACACGTCGAAAAGACGCCCTAAACCAAGGAAAGAAGCCCGACACCGAGATCATTATTTCAGCTGATCTCCCTGCCCGAACAACTCCAGCTCCAGTAATCGCGACGACAACACGTTTGTTACCAGTATTTACTGATTCTTATCGAAAAATTTGCGGGAGCACGCTTATTTAAGCTAAACCAACGACCGTATCCGGAACGGATATGTGGGCCGAATGGGGACCATGGTCGCAGTGCTCACGCAGTTGTGGAGGATGTGGCATTCAGTCCAGAGTACGGAACTGTCGCACAAAGGAGTGCAAGTAAGTCTAGAATTCTTCTCGTCTTCATCTTGTACCAAGAAGGGTTACCCCTTACCCCAGATGTCATCAGTTTGAAGACAATGCCCTGCGATCAAGTGGCCCAATGCCTTTATGCGCTTGGTAGCCAGGTCCGCATTTGCAGAGAGTGTACCTTTTTCCGTCACACAAACGTGCGAATTAAGGCAGTCATAGACGCGTGACCTTTCACTACTTCAACGTTTTCAAACTACAACACAACAAATTACACCACTAGTTACCGCGCATGTTGCCTGCAGCGTCGTAGGAAGACCTCATGCGTCCGTCACAGAGAACGTTGCCTGTCTAAATAGTTTTGTATTAGATTTCAGTAATGCAGGATGCGGCGAAACGATCTGTGAGCCACGGCTGCACTAAGGCAGCAGGGCGTCCATTTTCCAGGAAGTCCTAACTCGTACAATGAGCCCGTGTGTCAGAGAGTGGGTCCTTTTGAGGTGCTCTTGGAAATTTTTTCCGCCTTTTTTTAGAGGGGAGTCTTTTACCGGCCACTGGCCCATGATTGAACACCCTCTACAAGTAGTACTTGATGGCGGGAATCCGTCTTTAACACATTGTACTACAATGAGAACACCCTAATGCCCCTGAAATTTGACACTGCTTGATGGGGGTAACCGGACCTGCCCAGTGAACGCTCGTCCGTAGCACATGGCTGTTTGTCACAGACCCCCATCCACTTCCCAGCGTGTGAACGATTTCCATGTAGTTTCGACCGACCGAGCGATGAACATCGGCGATAAGGAACGGAAAACAATCCCGGCGACAGGCGGTAGAATCCGGGTGACTGCCCAGTACACAACTGTTCACTTATGCAGATCCTCTCCTCCGCATAATCGGGCTAGTGTTGGGATGATAAACGTGGCCATTTTTTGATAAACTATCATTTTTTGTGGTGACAAGTACCGGAATTCTGACTCAATCCCACTGTCCAGTTAACAGTACGGATAATCCTGTAAAAGTAAGTTCGTGTAAAATGCCACTCCCAAGCCGAAACAGCGCCCGCATGGCGTCATGTTGGCAGTTTGGATAACAGGGGAAAGTGAAGAAGTGTAGCCCGAAAGAAATAGTCACTAGAGGATGTATAAGAAAGTTAGTTTAGAGAAGAAGAGGCAAATACACGAACAAACATTCTTGACACATTCCAGAGCTCATTGGGTGTGGTGCAAGAGATCCACGTCGCGGTGAAAGTAGAGCAAGTTGCTATTCCGGCGCGCAGCGCTCACACCAGCCCTAACTGATTCTGTAGAAGTGCTACATTGCGATTGAGTGGCCAGCTAGTTTTCTGCTTACTATGGCGGTAGAAACTCGAGGGGAAAAGCAAAGGGAAGTTGTTTCCTGGCTCCGCCCACCCAGCTATCTCAAAAGGTGCCTTTAGCATTTTCTGGCAGTTGGCATTTTCTTTACTTCCAAAATATAATGTCTTCATTGAGGAAGGCTTTCCTTCCCTTTGAACACCTGGACTTTCACCTAGCTGAACGTGCAGTTTCTTTTGCTCAAGTAATGTGGTATTGGCGATCAAACCGGTCCAGGGCATGTGGCTCCAGCGCGGGGTAGAGTCCGCATAGTTTGAAAGAAAGCCACTTTGCCGTAATTTAAATTGGTATGAAACGGTGCCAATGGGTCCTAGTAACCCCCTGAACTCATGGTCATGGCATCCCACCTCAAAAAAACAACTTTGGCGCAGTTCAGCTTGGTGGGTACATTTTGTCGGTTTCCCATAGATCGCTACCGATGCTACCTGTGTAGATCTGCAATTCCTTGAGCTAAGCTAGAGCGCGAGCTCCGTCTACATTTGACGGGAAGTCTCTAGGTCTCAGCAAGGTCTGGCGTGCAGTTTAACTGAAACTAGACGTGCAACTCAGCAGAAACAAGCAAAATAAACTGACGGAGGTGCAAATGCCCCTCTCAAGCCAGCAGCGCCCAACTTTTTCTACTTTTCAGTGGTAACCCGTAGAGATTTACGGTCTGGTTTCCACTTCTTTTTTGAACCCTTCTTTTTGGTATTTCAAAGCCGAAAAGCGTTCACCAGTGCGCAGACAGCTCTATAGAGTAACGCCGTCCCCATTGTACCAAAAACGTTCAGCAAACACTGGTTCAAAAGTACCGATTGTTCTCGCTGAGCACACACTCGACCCAAAATGCTCGTGAAAGACTAACATTTACCCTCAAAGCTGGAGAAAAGCGCCGATTCACATAACCACTGAAAAACACGGCAATGTTCTGTTTGCAGAGGACGACGACAGGAGTTCAGCACGTGCAATTTGATGGCATGTCCTATCGATAAGCATTGCGCTAAGCTACTCATGAACGACAAAATCTGCGACGGAAGAGTTTGTACTAAGTACGTGACGTAAGGTGAAATTTACGAAAAAAAACCAGTAAAACCTGTCATGTTCAGAGCATCACAAGCGTTGGCGGCATGTCTGCAACCTCAGTGCTGCCCACCCTTCATCAATGTGGATGGCAAATGCCAAAGTGACTCACCACTTGTCAATGATTTCGGTGGTGCCAAGAAATAACGTCATTCAACTAACAGATTTCAAAAGTAACCCTTATTTAATCCTTTATGCCTTCATGTCACGGAAATAGGAAGGGCGTGGCCGCGCGCTCCATCCGAACATGGCGCACGATGCTTTTTTCGTGAGGAATGTTTATTTGAGACAACTATCATCCTGATAACTGTCATGTGCTGGAAGAAGCATGATTACAGTTGCCACAGAACGAAAACATGCCACCAGCTAAGCGCAGCCGCCACCATGTTAAACCAACGTACGCAGCCACGCCTTCCCAATCTCTGGGATAAGGGCTGTAACTAGGGGTATTAGTTCGAGACTATTTATTCCAAATCTGAAATCCAAAGCGCTCCTGTTAGACGTACTAATAGCTTAGGAACTCTCTGATAGTATGTTTCGGTCTATTCCAGTGAGATGGGCTACCTACTGATGGAGCTGAGCGAGCCAGAAGGGACAATGAATTTTGGTCAAAGGTAATGAAATGGGTTCTGGAGCTGGAGGCGGGGTGGGAGGGGGTGAACCATTTCTTTGGAGAGGGAGCAGGACACAGTATTGCGATGGGTCATAGTGACCACCCAATTTCTTTCAAGGGAAGACCAACCGAATTTCCTCTTCGAGTGCGACCCCCTCTAAACGGAATTTACGTACCGTCTTCTCTTCACTATTCCAACTCGCTTCTCCAAGATTTCATGTGAATTTTACCAAATTTTCCGCTACATTTATTGGAACGAGTTCTCTCAAATCAACTATTGGAACTAGTGATTACATAGGTTTTTGCTACGCCACCAACTTGGGGAGGGAAGAGGGGGTATAGCATAATTTATACGGTAAGACCAACCATCGAAAAAATTTCTTTCGCTGCTCCGAAAAATCCCTCCCACTGCAAAATACGACTCACTCTTCCGAGAGCAAATCGCTTCCCCCCCCCCC